CTCTTTACTACACTTACTTTTCTCCTCCTCCATCGCATACAATATATCTCTCTCTCTTGCTCTTCTTCTCTCCCCCCCCCCCCCCCCCCCCCCCAAAAAAAAAAAACGGTCATGCCATCCAAAATTTCATAAAACGAGGGTGACACATTGAAACCTTAATTAGGGTTTTGTTACTTGAAGAAAATAAAGAGGTACTCCAGGTCATAAGAAGTTTCTTTGCCTTCAAGTCCAACCCTAATTTGTTCCTAAGGTTTCTTGCAATGAGCAACCCTAGGCATGATCAAATAAATCTTTCCAGTTGTTTCTATTTATTTTTTAGTCATATTTGCATACTTTTTGTGATTTTTCAAGAACATACATTCTACTTAAAATCATAGTGAAAGGTTTAATATTATTCCAAAGCTGGGTCTATTTGCTTTGACAATAAAAAGAAAGGTCCTAAGTTATATTTAGGTTTTATTTTTTATTTACAGCACTATTTTGTAGCCCATGTGAGTAGCTTTTAAATATAATAATCAAAGAAAAAAGAAAACTTTTGAATTTATCACCTTGATTCTCACATAGGCATACCTTTCAATACTATTTCATAGACTTGAAAAAAAAAAAAATTTTCCTTATATCCATACATCTAAAAGTCAAGATGATCAATTGGAGGATTCTCCAAAGTTAGAACTCTCTTTTGTAAGGTTTCTTAGGTACACCTTACTTTAAGGTTATAACCTCATGCAAACTCTTTCCTTAGAGATAAGGAACAAGAAAAATCGGTGTTTCAAGGAATGGGAGCACTATTTTTAAAGGGTTTCTTTTGCCATAATGCTCTCTAGAAGGATTTTTTCACCATGGATGAAAATATTTTATGCATGCTCGTGCACTTCCTAGACACAGAATTATGGAGAATATTCTGTTATTGGTAAAGCTACTCTCCTACTTGTCATTTGTTTGATGCAGGGTTAGCATGCATTGGATATGCTGAGCAATCAAAGAGCTATCTCAGTTTTCTGGCTTAAAACCCCCACTATAGTAATTTGATTTAGCAAAAAGCCTTTCCAAGGCCTAATCGTAGAAAAAGAATGGTAATAACTATATACAAATTGGATCAGTTTTCTTGCTTAATCCACATTAGGGTAATCTGATTTAGCAAAAAATCTTGCAACAATGATAATAACATTAATTATATACAAACTGTGTTTTTAAAATAGAAAGAAAGAGTCAAGATTATATTCCCGAAAGTAGCATATCCTCTAGTCACTCCCTCAAGTAAAACCCCATCTAAGGGTATTTGTAGGACCCCAAATTTTGGGAATGCAACCTCCTAAAGGTAGCCACAACCTCAAGAAGTCAGTAAAAGAAAACAAAGCACACTTTGTATGTGCCTGAAAAAATAACGCCCTAAGACTGAACAGAGAGTCCTATTTTTGGACAGTTAGACCAAGTGTCTTAGGAAACCAAAAATCCTCTGTTTTTTGGAAAAAATAATTATTTGGTATCCTAAAATGGATACCGAAATTTTTCATAGAAAAAATCTTCCTAAGTGGCTCTTGTGCCTAAGGAAGCAAATGTGTTGTGAGCTCTTGCTAAAGCATGCCGTACGAGCTCAAAAAATAATATAGAAACCAAGGTCTTGTTCCTACTTCAGGCTCTTCCAACACATCGTTGTCTGTTGGAAATTCAGAAAGGTGAACCCTAAAAACTTGGCTCTTTCCAAATGGCCTACCTCTTTGAACCCAAAACAAGTCTTCCACATTTCTGTTAGCTGGAGAATTGAGGGCAGGGTCAAAACTTCCACTCCAAGTGCAGAAAGCATCTGGGAAAAAACCAGGGAAGGTTAAAGCAAAATCTTATTTAAAACATTATAGATCCTCTCAAAAAAGGGAAGGTATACAATAAATCAACAAAACATGGAAAAATCGTCATCCAATGGATCATGACCATAAAACAAAATTGTTGGTGATGGTAAACAAATGGGAGCCACTGTAGGTTTCATGTCTTGCTCTGGTGGGTCCCATTTCATCACCATGCATCATTTTAATGGAATGTGGTAACTTGATAAGCTAGGGTTTTCTATAGTCCATTAGATTATACTATGCTTTTCCCTCATTCAATTTTCTCACAAAACCCCTAACAAAACATTTGTCACAAACAGTTCAGGGATAATTAGAAAGCTCATATAGTATCAAATGGATCACAGCGATGCTGCATATTCAGAAGTACCTTTTCAAGCTCATCCAGAAGAATTCGACACATGCCTTGTCTTCTAAATTTAACACATGTTCCAACCAAAGACATTTCTGCGACGCTTTCTCCATGAATCCTGTAAAAATAACCAACCAGGAAGGAAAATCAAGATAATGGAATAAGTGGCAGACACTCGAAAGCTTAATACAAGCCAAAAAGAAATTGAAAAGGAAAAAGATTACCTGATTGTTGCCACAGATATTATTTCATCCCCTCTTTCCAAAATCATGGTATAGAAACCCCAAAAGTCCAGCCATTTTAGTCCTGACCTGCATCCTTCAAAATTTCACAATCCCATTTTGATGCACAACAAGCTTTAGAAAAAAAATTTTATAACATCAAACAATGCTCTTTCAGAGACCATCGACATCAAATTTTGGTCACAAAAGTGAAAAAAACTGTGTACTGAATTTCTACCGCCACCTATAAGATTTTGGATATCAAAGAAAGTGCAAAAGCATTATGAGAGAAGTAACATCTTTTCATTTCTAATGTGCAATTCATGTTTTGATATTGAGTGAATGCACAGGAGTATAGGGAAAGGTTAACCTTTCCTTTCTTTTCTAAATGCTCGGCAATGAGGAAGCCGAAGAAACTTCTATTGATCTTATGCAAAGCAAGCCACTATTGGAATCATTTTTTGCCAGAAGCCTATGTTATGGTATATTCTTTTAACATAGCTCGGAATGAATAAAAGAACAACTATGTTTGAGATGATGTTGTCCGTGAGATTTCTTTCAGATAGAAATATGCATGATGACATGACTAACATGTAGATGCAGACTTCCCAAACAAATAGTTTCATATACCACACTGTCAGCATCAAGGTTTTGTATCATCCCGTTTGGAGCACTTGGTCAATGTAGTAATTCACTTTGTTTTTAAGAAGGGAAACTCACATATAAACCAGGTTTTTTTACCGTTGTAACAGTATGGCCCAAAATAACCCATTATTACCTAGAAGGATGGATCCCCAAATTTTGTTAATTTTTGCCAAGTTGCCCTCTTTTTGGTTTTAAAAAATCGAAACACTTGGTTACCCCAATACTTATCGTTTTTTGCCAACTTTCTATGAAAAAAGCGGTCCAATGGTTAAAACATCAGACAGCATTCTGTTGAAAATATTTAGTGAACAAAGCGGTCTGATGTTAGAACCATCGGACCGCATTTTGTTGCAATTTTTTGTGAAAATCAAGCGGTCCGATTTTTCTAACATTTGACCGCATTTTGTTCAATTTTTTGAAGTGAACGATGCGATCCGATGTTTGAACCATCTGACCACATTCTGTTGCAATTTTTTTGTGGAAATCCAGCAGTCCGATGGTTTTGACATCAGACCGCATCTTGAGTGAATCATGCGTTTAATTGCACCAAGCGGTCCAATGGGAAGGGTCATATGCATATGAGAGGTTTACATTTGTCTCTTTTGTTGATGAACAGTTGGCCTAAGTGGTGGCAAACGACCAACATAAAGGCTGACTCCCACCAAGGCAAATTTCCAGACTCCAAAGTGAAAGTCAAAGGAAGAGGAAAGGTGAGTCGGGAAGGAGACAGAGAAGGTGACGCTGAGCAGAAGGAGAGAGAGAGAGAGCGTGAGAGAGAGAGAAAGAGAGAGAGAGAGAAAAGAAAACAAGGATGGGGATTGTGGAGGAGGCGCATGATGTGAGGGTGGTGGGTTCAGGCGAGAAGGTGAGCGTGTTAGCCCATGGGTTCGGCACCTATCAGTCAGTTTGGAAGAACTTGACTCCCATCAGATCCATGACCACAAAAGTGTTACCGCTTGAAGAGAAATTTAGCTTTGCAAATATGAAAGCTCAAATCTTAGAAATAGAGTGATTTTCAGAAACAATTTTCTCTCCTAGAATTTGGGCTTTTTTGTTTTCTTAATCTGCATTCACAAAGAAAGCATCTTTAGAGAGAGAGAGAGAGGCCCAAGCTAGGAGAGAGAGAGAGAGGACCGAAAGCAGACAAGACACAAAAGAGAAGAGAGAGAAAGAAGAAGGTAAGTTTTCGAGGGCGTAAATAAAGCGATCCAATGTTTGAAACATAGGACAGGGGGCAATATTGGCAAAAAATTAAAAAAATCGTGGATCCGTCCTTCCAGGTAATAACGGGCTATTTTTGGGCCATACCGTTATAACTGTAAAACAACCCGGTCTGTAAATAAATTTCCCTTTTACGAATGTTTAGCTAATATACACGGAGAGTTGTTTGCTCTTCTACGGCAGTGATACAAAAATTCCTTTAAGTAGTGTAAAAACATTCCTTCAAGTAGTGTAAAGGGAAACATTCCTACTTTTAGATACAAATTAAAATCCCGCAAAAAATACTCCCTCTCTCTCTCACTATATATATATATATATATATATATATATATATATA